TCCTGAGCCTGGCCTTGGCCACGGCCCGAGCCGGGAAAGGGGCGTAGGGGGAGTTGGGGTGTATTTCTTACAACTTGTTGTAGTGGTTATAATGTGTTGTAAGGCGGGGAGCTGCGCGGGGCTCCGGGAAGCAGCGCTGGACTCTCTCGATGTGAAAATTGCCACCTGAGCAGGGAGGGATTGTGCTTGCAGCATCGCTTTCCGATGCGTAATTTCCTGCCTGTGACAGCATTGCTTATGTTAATGATACACAAAACTAGGCTTCTCCTAACCTGCTTTTTTTTCTTAAAAAAAACCCCCGCTGTAACATGTTCTGGGCATAGCAGTTTCCCATTGTTATTCTGGTTATTACAGTCTTACCCATTGCACAAGTTGGGGTAAGGGCTCAGCTGGGTTGAAGGCTTTCGCACTTTAATCTTTGTAATGTGACACATGTTCCTAGAGTGACCATGGCTTTATTGGAGAGCAAAAACATTATACAATCGATCTGTCATCTTCTTACAGTCCACAGAAGCTTTGGAATTCATGAAACGGGACCTGGCTGAGTTCACTCAAGTAGTGCAGCATGACACAGCCTGCACTATCGCTGCTACGGCCAGCGTGGTCAAGGACAAGCTGGCAGTGAGTATAGGAGTGAGAGAGCTGGGATTCTTGCTGCAGAGAGCAAAGCGGGGGGTGAATAGGACGTACCTGCCTCCGAGGACTTGATCCTCTGAACAAACCCCAACGTATAACCATAATCTCCAGATTTCAGACTTTCTCCCCGGTGCAGGTTTGGTGCCAAGCGCTGTGTGGGATTTCCTTGCTGTAGTGGCGAGGAACCTGTGGAAACAAGTTCCTTGTACTTTCCCTTTCCCAGTGTGCCATGTCAGTGGGATACTGGCAGCGTCACTGTAGTATGATGTCTGATCCCTGCACAAGCTGTCAGCCTTAACCCGGCACAGCTGCTGCTGTGGCAGTCCAACCCCCCCAACCAGCCAGTTCCCAAACCTGGCTGCGTCCTTCCCCACAAAGCTATTACAAGGCCTGCCTGCCCCACCGCCACCTGAGGCTAGTGCCTGCCACCACACCCTTCTCCTAGCCCAGCCCTGGCCACACAGTCGCTTCATTAGCACTTTTTTGAAGGCAGAGAAATCTTTCTTCCTTAAAGGAACCTACCCAGAAAAGACTGAGAGTTGTCCTGCTGCTGCAGGCGCTCTTACTTACACTGTGCTGCTTTTTCTCTTCAAGAGGACAGAAGGTTCCTCAGGTGCAACTGAAAAGGTGAGGAAAGGGCTCTCTGACTTCCTCGGTGTCATCTCGGACACATTTGCTCCCTCTCCTGATAAGACCATTGACTGCGATGTCATCACACTGATGGCAACACCCACAGGTACCACAGAGCCCTATGACAGTGCCAAGGTGAGTGCCTGGTTCCTGGAGCTGCCCTCTGGACTGCGGAGTCCCAAGCCCTGTCCTCTTGGGGCTCTGCTGCTGCCCCTCCACTGACGGCTCTGCCCTGTCTGTCTTCTCCAGGCTCGCCTCTACAGCCTCCAGTCAGACCCAGCCACCTACTGCAACGAACCTGATGGTACGGGAGGGATCCGGCAGTGCTGCCAAGCAAAGCTGGTCCTTGTGTGGGGTCTGTGGGCTGTCCTGAATTTCCCGGAGCCTTTCGCCAGCGGGCCTGCTGGCTTGGGTGTCGATGGGGTCACTGTTTATGGGGCGCAGATCTGTCTGTTGCACTGGGAACTAGCTTAGACTGAGAGTTTGCTGAGTGCCCTTCAACTGCCGCTACAGCTGGAGCCATGTGGCCTTGTGCTGGCAGAGGACCCACAACGTGGGGTGGGCTCAGAGACCCATGTCTCCCTCCGTCTTTACCCCTTGCTTACCCCAGCTGGTCTGCTCTGTAGTATCTTTTAATTGAAAACTTGCCAAAACTGTTCCTGCCTTGTTTGTGCCAAGGACTGTTATCTCTGTGCTTGTCCTGTACAGGCCCTGCTGAGGTCCTTGAGGCCTGGCTCTCTCAGTTTAACCTAGAGGAGAAGAAAGGGGAGATTGCGGAGCTGCTGGCAACCAGCCCTTCCATCCGGGCTCTCTACACCAAAATGGTAAGGCCCTGCCTGGCTCCTGTTGTGGGCAAGTTCTGACTTGGGATGTGGTGCAGGGGAGCCCTGAGCTGCTTGGGCGCTGGAGTTCGTGTTAGAAAGGGTTATGGTAAACTGGCACATGGATATTTGGCAGCATATTTTATTCTTCTTCCCTGCTTGTGTGTCGTGGGCCTGGAACAGAAGTTCCTCTGTAGCAGTCTGATGTGTGTCTGAGCATCTGCTAGTGCGTACCCGGGCCTTGGCTCCAACTCTCTGCACCTGAAAATGCAGGTGCCTCGCACAGGTTATGAGGATAGCTGCGAGGCTTGGGAGGAGAGAGGAGCAAGGCAGCAACTGCAGCCCTCCCTCTGAAGTGACTCATTTTTCCCCATGTCACTCCCAGGTCCCTGTGGCTGTTTCCCATTCTGAATTTTGGCAGCGCTACTTCTATAAAGTGCATCGCCTGGAGCAGGTAGGTCAGGAGGTGGGTGTCTCCCCCAGTGGGTGGGCTCTCCAGCCAAGGAGCTCTCGAATGCAGACTGAAGAGGCAAAAGATACTTTTCATGGAAGAGTGGGCATCTGGGCTGCCTTGTCTGTGTCCCTGTTGTCGCTGACACTGAAATGCCTTGGGGAGGAAAGGGCTGGGGACGTGAGCAGCTGCTGATGCTGAATTCCCTGCAGGATGAAGCCCGGAGGGAGGCTCTGAAGCAGCGAGCGGAGCAGAGCATTCACCAAGAGGAGCCAGGCTGGGAAGAGGATGAAGGTGGGTCACATGGTGTGGGGGATCTGTGGGAGGGCTTGTACAGACCTCGGCAGGTCTCAGTTAGAGAGGGTGGTGGCTCCTCCTTGCTCCCACAAATTCAGCTCCCAGCCCAGCTGCGGCCAACCCTGCTGCACTGTCAGCTGCTGCTGCGCTTGCTGAAACATCTCTCGCTTCTCTTCTGCCTTCCTACAGAGGAGTTCTTGGGGATGTCACCCCTGCCTTGTGCAAACGTGAAATTGCCAGAAGCAGCAGAGAAAGAATCTGCCCCTGCAGCCCTGGAGGGAAGCCACCCCACTGCTCACAAGGGACCCTCAGTGGAAAGCTGGGCTGTCCTCCCTCCGGAGCCGGCCCCAGCAGAGGGGAGCCCCTCTGAGAGCAGTGAGAGCATCTCCCTTGTGACTCAGATCGCAAACCCTGCCTCTGTGCCTGCTGCGCAGCTACAGACTGGAGCACAACCAGCTGGGGCCGGAGACAGAGGCTGCTGGAGGCCACCTCGGCAGAGCAGAGCTCTCTGCCAAAGCCCCCAGAACCTGGTCATCCTTCTGCACCTGCCCGGGAGTCAGCAGCATCCTCAGAGCAACTGGCTGTTACAGAGCTCAAAGAGGTGGAGAGCAAAGCCCAGGGCAGGACAGAGACTCTGAAAGAGGAAGGACCAACAGATCTACGAGTCTTTGAGCTGAACTCGGATAGTGGGAAATCCACTCCCTCCAACAACGGCAAGAAAGGTGTGTCTGTGGGGCCTGGAAACCTTCTGCTGGGGATGGCAGCTTTTGGGGAAGGGGCTCTGATTTTGCGATGATGGAGGAGGAGAAAAGGGGTTTTGCCAAAATCACCCAGGAAGGTTAGATCCAAAGATTGTCTAATGGCTGAACCGAAAATGAGTCCTTACGCTGTTGGGCAGGGTCAAATTGGTCACATCGGATAGTGACAAGTCTGCTCTCAGCAGGCAGCTGGGCCGATGCCTTCTCCTGAGCTCCATTCCTGGTGCTCCCTTGGGAGAAGGGAGGGTGAGACTCTTCCAGAACCCTAAGGAGGGATGTGTCACAGCTCTGGCTGACACTGTTTACAAACCTTTCATTGCAGGGGATTCTGCCTTCAGCAGAGCCTGCTGCAGGTCTCCCAGAATAATGGTTATGGTGGTTAGAGGTTTATAAAGCTGCTGGAAGTAACCCAAGATCCAGCAAGGTGTGACCAAGTATCATGAAGTGGGTCTGTGTCAAGCAGGAGGAAATTAGACAAGAAATCGGAAGTCCGTCAGCTGGACAGGGTAGACCTTTGGTCCGTGGCCTGCAGGGTGCCGGAGCGAGGCTGTGGTCTGTTTAGAGAATGTGATGTTTCCTTCTCTTTGCATGTCATCCCGAGGAGTGTCCCTGCTGCTCCTCTGCCCCAGGAGGTTGTTCTTTCTGTTGGGGACTGTGACAGTCCCCATATCTAAGTCCCTCCTGTCATTCCTTATTTGTTGTGTTTTCTGTGTGAGTGAAGCGTGATGCATCCGAGTTCTCCCAGGCCAGAGGAGAACATGTTTCAGCATTCACCTCTCCCACTTGTCCTGAACCAGCCCTTACTGTGAGGGAGGCGCAGTTCAGTCTATCCTGTCTGTTAGCGAGCTGACAGCCTGCTCTTGGGAACAGGGGAGGCTTTTTCTTCTGGAGTGGGATGTGGTAGATCCAAGCCTCGTGAATACCAGGGCTTTGTGGCCCTGCTCGGGCAGCTGTGTGCTTTGGCCAGGGTGTCTGGAGAGCACGTGCGGCTCTGATGGCTGTCATGATGTTTGTGGTTACAGGCTCCAGCACGGATATCAGTGAGGACTGGGAAAAAGACTTTGATTTGGACATGACTGAAGAGGAGGTGCAGCTGGCGCTCTCGAAGGTGGAAATGTCTGGTGAGGTGAGTCGAGGGGAGGTGCTCGCCCTAATAGGCAAGAAGATTGTTCCCAGAAACCATCTGCAACTCCTTGGGGTGATGCTGCTGTTGCTGGGTGATTCCCCTGGGAGGTGGAGAGAGACTGCAGTGCCTGGAGCCGAGGCTGCACAGCACGCTGCAGCGAGACATGGCTGCTGCTGGCCTGGAAAGGCAGCGCTGCAGCAGGCAGCTGCCTGCCTAGAGCAGCTCGCAGGAGGCTTCTGAAAAGCCTGACTTGCTCTTTGAGGGATCTCGCCGTGAGAGTTACGGGTGTTAATTGGAGCAGAGAGTGGCTATTAGGACGTGCTTGACGAGGGATGAGTGTGCAGGCTCCCCGGGGGGACCCGAGCAAGCAAATCCCTGTTGTGAGGGTGTGGGAGCGTGAGGGTATGTCAGGCTTTGCACTGACTCAGGTGCCCTGGACAGGAGGATCTGTGGACAGATTGCTGTTGAGTTACAGAAACAAACTGATGGATGTTACTCTTGTTTGCAGCTGGAAGATGAAGAGTGGGAAGACTGGGAATAAAGCGACTGCTTCCAGTGCGTGTCACAGGCTCATTTCCACCATCGAATGTGAATTAAATCACGGACCGGCTGTTCCTTTGTGTGTAACTGAGCGGGAGATTGCAGTTCCAGGCTGGAGGTGTATTCT